AGACAGTCTTGTGCCAAGGCCCCTCCGGGGAACTTCCCCTTCCTTTAATTTTTTTTTTTTTTTAAAAAGGCAGAGTTGCCTTGATAGAGAAAGAGACAGAGAGAAAGGTCTTCCTTTGCCGTTGGTTCACCCTCCAATGGCCGCCGCGGCCAGCACGCTGCAGCTGGCGCACCGCGCTGATCCGATGGCAGGAGCCAGGTACTTCTCCTGGTCTCCCATGGGGTGCAGGGCCCAAGCACTTGGGCCATCTTCCACTGCACTCCCGGGCCACAGCAGAGAGCTGGCCTGGAAGAGGGGCAACCGGGACAGAATCCGGCGCCCAGATCGGGACTAGAACCTGGTGTGCCGGCGCCGCAAGGCGGAGGATTAGCCTAGTGAGCCGCGGTGCCAGCCGAGGTCATCTTTCTTATTAAGCACCTTGAATGGCCAGTGTTGAAGAAGGCAGGCAAGCTTAAAACAGTTACAAGTGACTGACTGCAAGTAGACAGTAATTTTAGAAATTAATTCATTGATCTGAGCGGGAGAGCAACAGAGAGAAAGCACAGGACAGAGACAGAGATCTTCTGTCTGCTGGTTTACTCCCCGAGTGGCCACCGCAGCCAGGACTGGACTAGGCTGCAGCCAGGAGCCAGAACTCCATCTGCCTTCCCACACGGGTGACGGGGCCTCAGGCACTTGAGCATTCTGCCTTCCCAGCTGCATCAGCATGGAGGTATCCTGGAGGCAGGGCAGCTGGGACTTGAACCAGTGCTCACACGGGATGTCGGTGTCAGAAGCAGTGGTCTAACCTGCGGCGCCACAGTGCCAGCCCCTGCTGCTGTGTTCAGATTCTCATGGGGCACTCTATTCAAGGTGCTAGCAAGGGCTCATAACCAGTTTTTAATATTGTGGCTGATTGTTTTGTAAGGAGCGAGGTGAAAGAAATTTAGGAGCTAGAATGCTGTTTGCTACTTGTGGGCAGTTGGAAAGTAATGACTGTCCACTTGTTTAAAGCGACTGCAGCCGTAAAGATAAATTCTTTGCTCTCTGTCTTCTCCCTGTGCCCGTGACTGCTGTAGGTCTGATCACTCTGGAAGAGCTACATCAGCAGGTGTTAAAGGGAAGAGGCAAGTTCGCGCAGGACGTCAGCCAGTAGGTCTCGCCTTCTAACCCCTCGGACTGTGGAAGGAAGTCTTTATTCCAAAGGAATCTTTCCTCCCTGTCCCTCAAATGTGTGGGCTAGCTCAGGAATCATTTTTATTCCTCTCTGTGATCAGACAAAATATACTTTAATTTTAGAAAAGTGAAAATACAGAGAAAAAGAAAACACAACCACCCATTCTTTCTCAGCCAAGAGATTGCCAGCTGTTGTGTTGATGTGTCCTTCTCAGCATTGTTCATGTGAACGTATGCTATTTTCTTCATTGAAATTCTTGGAGCCCAAGGAGACTGGAGTAGGCACCTAGAAAGGCTGGGGAAGAGGCGAGGCTCACCAGCCTGCGTGTGGGAGTCCAGTGTAGGAAGACAAAAGTTATTGGAGATGCAGCTCCCAAGGAGCCAGCCTAGCATGAGGTCACGAAGACCTGAGGCTACCAGGCATGCTGGTCGCACAGTAACTCTCGGCATGAGTTAGTGCATTTCAGACATGTTAATTGGTGCTCTCGGGCTGGAGAAGGTACTCGGCTCTCTTGAGGTTGCCTTTCCCCAGCCAGTTAGGTGATTGCAAACAGACTTCGCTGGGTCATGGCAAAATAGAGTTAAAAGTTTATTTTGGTGCAAAAACCAGCTTGAAGTCCATGCATAGTTTTTTCATGAGACGCATTTCTTGTGAGCTCTTGGAAGACGTTGGCGGAGTTGCCACCTCTCCGTGTAGGGGCTGGATATAGGATGTACACATTGCTTTGTGGCTTTTCGAAGTGTCAAAGGAATTAGAAAATATGGCACTTTCCAAGCAGCAGTGACCAGCTGGGTTGCTTTTGGGGAAGTTAGCCCCAGTTCGCGCTACCCCCTGTCGTCTCTGCAGCTCTCTCATTCACAGGTCCTGCTAGGCCCCTGTGGGCATATTTTTGACCTCTGTTTGGGTTGGGAGCAAATGGTTTGTGGAGCAGAGAGCCTGGCTCCTCTGGCATTGCTCTGGGATACCCGAGCCCCGCGCGGGCCCTGCAGCCCTGCCTTTGAAGCACAGAGTGGTGCAGGGCAGCCTTCTCGGTGTCCTCAGGGCAGCTTGCCCAGGACAGAGCTGAAGCCGCTTCGCTGGGGCTGATCTGCCAGGGCCTCACGCTGCTCTCCCTCACCTCAGAGATGACCTCATCAGGGCCATCAAGAAACTTAAGGCGCTCGGCACCGGCTTCGGCATCATCCCCGTGGGCGGCACTTACCTCATTCAGTCTGTTCCAGCTGAACTCAACATGGATCACACCGTGGTGCTGCAGCTGGCAGAGGTACTGGCGCGCCTCCTGAGTGAGTGTGGACCGTGTGCGGTGTGAGTGTGCAGCCATTCTGGTCTCCTCCTCCCCGTTCCTTCCAAAGCCAGGAGCTTCATCTGGGTCTCCAACATGGGTGCAGAGGCCCATGCACTTGGGCCATCATCCACTTCCTTCCCAGGCGCATTAGCAGGGAGCTGGATGGGAAGTGGAGCAGCTGGGGCTTGAGCTGACACCTGTATGGGATGTTGGCATTGCATGTGGCAGCCCAACCCACCACGCCACAATGCCAGGCCCCCTTATGGATTCTTCAACACACATTTTAAATCTCGTTTGCTATTCCCTCATTGTTCAATATGCCTGAAGCATATACCACTTGCCCCCAAATCCCCATTATGTGTTTAGGGAAGACATGTTCAATTTTCTGAATTCTATAGTGTTAAAAAAAAATGGGAAAGGTGTTTTTATTATTTTTTTAATATTGGGGTAGATAAGGTGAGACAGGACACGCTGAATATTTATTTGAAAGAGAGGAAATGGAGATCTTCCACCTGCTGGTTCAGTCCCCAGAGAGCTGCAACAGTTGGGGCTGGGCCAGGCTGAAGCCAGGAGCTTCTTCCAGGTCTCCACATGGGTGGCAGGGGCCCAGGTACTCGGGCCATCCTCTGTTGCTTTCCCAGGTGCATTAGCAGGGAGCTGAATCAGAAGTGGGACAGCCTGGATACAAAACCAGCACCCAAATGGGATGCCAGCATCGCAGGTGGTGGCTTAACCCCCTGTGCCACAGTGCCGGCCCCAGGGCCTGAATATTTAAATACTGTAATTATCACCCATTCTATGATTATCTCCATTCCTTCCTGTAATCATTGATTCTTCTCTTGTTATACTTAGGCCCTCTGCCGAAGTCTCACTTAACACCAAGGACCTCACTTCTACAGCCAAACCCACCAAGCCACCTCTGACCCGGGGGTGACCTCTCTCTTCCCACCTGCTAGGGCTTCTTTTTTCTTTTTTTCTTTTTTAAATTTATTTACTTGTGAAAATCAGAATTACACAGTGGGGGGGGGGGGGTCTTCCATCCGCTGGTTCACTCCCCAATTGGCTGTAGCAGCCAGAGCTGCACCGATCCGAAGCCAGGAGTCAAGAGCTTCTTCTGGGTCTCCCACGTGGGTGCAGGGGCCCAAGCACTTGGGCCATCTTCTACTGCTTTCCCAGGCCATAGCAGAGAGCTGGATCGGAAGTGGAGCAGCCAGGACTTGAACTGGCGCCCATATGGGATGCCGGTGCTTCAAGCCAGGGCATTAACCCACTGTGCCACAGTGCTGGCCCTGAGGGCTTCTCAACACTGCCTTTTCTATGCTCTGGGGCTTGGCCCCAGGGTAGTTCTTCCCTTTTTGTGTCCAAGTACATGTGTTGTGGGTGCAGATAGTGGATGCAGAAAGTGCCCTCAGTTAACTGACTCGATCCCTCTTCCTCCTTCCTTCAGAAAAATGGTTACGTGACTGTAAGTGAAATCAAAGCCAGTCTTAAATGGGAGACCGAGCGTGCGCGCCAAGTGCTGGTATGTGACTTCAGAACGGTCCAGGAAAGGTGGCCCTGATGGGAGGCAGTAGGTGGGTTCCACACAGGCAGGAGCTGCAGCCTATCTTTGCCTGCCTCTTACCTTAACCAGATGCCCAGTACTCCCCTGAAGGCAGGCAGGCTTGTCATCCTGGCAGGCACAGACCAGGTGGCCCTTGCTTTTGGAGGACCATGGTTGCCACCTGCCCTCTCTCCTGGGTGAGTGAGCACAGTTCCTGGTCACCAGCTTAATAGTTTGTGTTGATAGTGACAGCTCAGAGTGAAGGCAGTTAACCATGTAGGATAGTTATTTTCTTGTAATTATGTTTATACGTTGTGTCTTACAGTTTTATATCTACAAATTTCACAGTAGTGATCAACATGGGAGCCCTGCCAATTCTCTAGGCTTTTTCAGATTTCATCTGCAAAATGGTATTGGGCAGAACCAACCCACCTCAAGCATATTCCCAGCTCTAGGAACTGGCCCTGCACTTGCGTTCCCCAGTGAGATAGCACAGACAACCAGGGCAGCAGTGGCCACTGTACTGGATCCAGGGCAATCCCACTACAGTGGGCTTTGTTCTCTTCAAGTTCAAGGACGTGGGAGCATTTCTCACACCTTGGGCAAGAGACAAAGCCAAAGTGATCATTCCAGTTTGGTTGTGTTGATGTGTGCACTCTTAGATTGCTTGAAAGCCTCACTGAAGCCAAAATGAGTTTGCAGATTGTTGGTCCAGCCTACGCTAACTTCCCCGTTCGACTCACTCTGTACCGTTGTCCTCCAGGAACACCTGCTGAAGGAAGGGCTGGCCTGGCTGGACTTGCAGGCCCCAGGAGAGGCCCACTACTGGCTGCCAGCTCTCTTCACTGACCTCTACTCCCAGGAAATCACAGCTGAGGAGGCCAGAGAAGCCCTCCCCTGAGTGTGGAAGGGCGCACAGCAACAGGCAGGGACAAGAGGGAAGGCCTGCTGGGAAGTAAACCTGGGCAACTTTGTATATACATATACATATATAAAAGGAAAAAAAAGTTCCATGCTTTTCTTTCTTCCCCCAATATTTTATTTTTTAAAAGTGCCTTCACATTGCATCTTTATTGGAGAAAACCTCATTTATCCAGTAAGGATAACCTGAGTAACACAGAGAACAGCAAGCACATATATAATGACTTGCACAGGTCATCTACAAGTTCACGGAAGAGGCGGGCCCAGGACGCAAGCTGTGTCTCCTACCTAGATGGTCTGGTTTCTCTGCAGCTGTTAAGATAGAAATCAGAGCTTTGCTAATTAAAATCTCTTCCTTTAACGTTCTTTCTTAGTCACAGACCCTAACAGATGAGGGAATAATATTCAGTCTCCTCCAGCCTCTGCCATAGAAGGTCCAGGCCATGAGGGAAACATAGCCGGTGTTAGGTGGTGGCTAAGCTGGAGGAAAATGATGGAATCTGAGGGGACTCAATAGTGAAGGCTGCATCTTGGTTCTCACTCCACACTAGCTTTGCTTCCTCAACAGGGACTGCTGAGCAGGTCCCTGTAACCTAGCAGTGGCTGAGGGAATCACTGTGCCATTTTATACACACCTCATTTAACCTTCACCAACCTTAAAAGTGAAGTAGGTGTCCTTAATGTCACAGATGGCAAATCAAAGGAATTCACCAGAGGCTGCCAGCTTAAGCAGAGCCGAAGCTGGAGGCCAGAATGACGACCCTGAGCCCAAGCTCTGTCAGTGCTTGGCACGGTGCAGGCTGGCAGGACATGATGTTGTGTAGACTTCTACACACGTGGTCAGCCAAGAGGAAAAGCCTCTGTCAGAAAGCAGCAATCTAGAGCAGGTGAAGAGGCAGCCGGGGGAGAGGTTGGGATTTAAGGCTTTCATAGTCTTCACGGTCTAAATGCTAAATCCCTAAGCAGCGCTGGCTTGGACACCCAATAGACTCTCCCCACTGACACTTCCTTCTCTTAGTTGGAGCCCATCTCTACCTTTATCTCCTTGTGGGACAAGGGTTCCCAGAGCATCAGAGCAGGTGCGGTGAGAATGCCGTCCCCCATTAACTGCCAGAGTGACAGCCTTAAACAGAGAAGGGCCCTGCTCCTGCTCCCACCTTCCAGACAACACACCGAGTGCTCGCCTTCCCCCACTTCCAGAGGACTCCATGCTTTACTCCAATCCTCCCACACCCTCAGGCGCTTCCTCCTTCTGCCAAAACAAACTTTATTGCACCAAAAAGAAAAAAAAAAAACTTCATTTATGTACAGATATAAAGACATCTCTGACTCCTGTGCATATATTTCCTAAACTCAAGATTAGGGCGTCAAGGTCAGGCTGCGATGCCAGACGTGCTCTGCCCCACGGCAGGGCCCGGGAGAGGATTGTCACTCGGAAAGTGGGAACACCTGAAATGGATGACTGCCAACACTGGGCCCACAGACCAGCAGTGTTCTAAGCCCCGGACTGGCTCGAGGAATGGAAGGAAACGAAGTGGGGTCCCTCTGAGTCTGCGCAGACCCTGCCTTCAGGTGTCCAAGATAAACTTGCGTTCCCAAGCCCCCCATTCCCTGTCCAGCGTCACTGCTCCTGCCCTCCTCCTTCACACCAGGAGAGTCCCGTGATCCCAGGGCAGCAGCAGGAGCAGGCACACGCCATCCTCTCCCTTCAGCACGGCTGGATCCTGACTGCGGCCCTGCGTCACGTGCATCACCAACACCCCTGGGAGCCCTAACAAGGATCTGGAAGTGCGGGGAGAACACACCAAGAAGGGGAACGATGGATTCCCTCGATGCCCAGTAGTACAGGGCACCCAATGCACGGTTTTGTTGTTTTTTTCTGAGCCAACCAGCTAAAGGATCACTGCAGCTAAATACAGACAGAAGCAACACAGCCAGGCAAATGGCCATCGGAGCCAGTGACAAAGAGCAGCTGGAGGGGGAAGGGAGAGGAGGGGAGGAGTCTCCAGAGTCCCAGCCCTAACCCCCTTTTGCCATTGGCTACCCTTGCTCCCCTCAAATCCCTAGGGGTTGAAGTGAGGAGGGGGACAAGCTGGGCTGAGAACACACAAGGACAGCCAAACAAAATACAGTAAGGACTAGCATCAGTCTTCCCCCTGCACCCCACCCCAAGAGAAACACCCTCATGGTGACTAGCATTTATGAAAATCTGCAAGAGACTATTCTATGTAGTGGCTCTAATCCCATACACACAGCAGCTGCTTGTGCTGGGAACTTTTCAAATCAGTGATTGCGGGAACAAAGAGGATCTTCAGCTTCTTACAGCGCCATGCAGGCTTTACCAAGACCTTGGTTCAGTCCCAGTCACATTTACCTTCTGTCTTAAACTGAGAAAAGGGTGAGGGAGGGGAGCAGGGGAGAAAGGTGCTCAGGTGCCAGGTAAAGCTTACTGATCAGCAGCCTAGACTCCACCACTGTTCCTGCTCTTTGGTCTGTCTAGAACAGTGACTATAAATTAGGAAAAACAAAATTATGCTGGCCCATGGGGAAAGGGGGGGCAGGGAGGGGAAGGGCATTGGGAAGCCTGGCTTCAGGACTGAAGACAGACAGACAACCACCCAGACTGTTACGTGTCCCAGACAGCCCCCCACCCCGTGTTCCCTTCCAGACATCCCCATAAATCACGTGGGCACACCCCCTCTTGGAAATACAATTTGTCTTCCACCCGGCCCTAAGGAGCTGGCCCTGTGGAGAGGTGTGTTGGTTGCTTTGTTTGTTTTTCAGAGGCCCTCGCCCTGGGTGCTCCTGGAAAGGTACCTTGGCCCCTGATATGGGACAAACAGCCCCAGATGCTCCAGCGCCAAGGAGGTCAGATGGGGAACAACCCCCACTCCCACACCCTGGGATCCGAGCTTGCTTGGTTGTTGCCATCTTGCGGGATGACGTCATTTTGGAGGGAGATACGCAGTGCCTCTCCATCCCTGGGGTGAGGGGAAGGGACTCTGCCGGACTTTCGAGTTGGGGGAAGGGGAGCGGGGAGGAGGGCCTAGACCCTCAGGCTCCCGTGCAGGTCCGTCTCTGTCCCAGACGAGCTGCTATCAGAGTCCATTTCAGCATTCTCATTATGGAGCCTCTCCAGCACTTTCTGACGGATCAGTCCCAGGCGCATCAAGAGGGACTGGTAGTCAAAGTGGCCCCGCTTCTCTCCAAAAGGGTCCTGTGGGGAAGAGACAAGGGGGGTGGAAGAGTCACGCCTGGGTGGCACAGCCTAGAGGGCACAGCTCTGGGTCCATGTGAAATGCAAGCTCAGGGGCACAGTGGAGCACAGAAGAGCCCAGCAGCAGACAGCGTGTCTCTGCTCAGGAATTTATGCAGTGTCCCAAATCCATCCAGCTTGGGCTGACATGAAAAGGTTTGCATTCCTCAAAAGCAAGCCAAAATGCAGAAGGGGTACGGAGGACTTTATGAGACAGGAGGACTTTATGAGACAGGTGATGTCAGTTTGTGGAGGGGCTTCATTTTAAAGAAATCTTTTAATTCTATTAGCCTTTTTTTTAAAAAGACTTATTTATCTACTTATCTATTTATAACTCAGTTACACAGAGAGAGGGAGAAACAGAGATCTTCCATCTGCTGGTTCACTCCCCAAATGGCTGCAACCAGGGTTGAGCCAGGCTGAAGCCAGGAGCTTCTTCCAGGTCTCTCAAGTGGTTCCAGGGGCCCAAGGACTCGGGCCATCCTCCGCTGCTTTCCCAGGCTCATGAGCAGAGAGCTGGATCGGAAGTGGAATAGCCAGGAAACGAACTGGTGCCCATATGGGATGGTTGGCATTGCAGGTGGTGGCTTAACCTGCTAAGCCACACTGCCAGCCCCATGAGCTTTTTTAAAAAGGTTTATTTCCATCTCCTCAAAAGGTAGAGTGAGAGTGAGAGCTTGATTGATCTTGCATCTACTGGTTCACTTCTCAACTGCCCACAATAGCTAGGGCTGGGCCAGGCTGAAGCCAGGAGCCCATCCAGGTCTCCCATGTGAGTGGCAGGGGCCCAAGCACTGGAGCCATCCTAGGATGCTTTAGCAGGGAACTGGATCCGAAGCAGAGTAGGCAGGACTCAAACCAGCGTTCCTTTATATAGGATACTGCTGTCCCAAGTAGCAGCCCAAGCCACTGCACCTCAACACCCTCCCAGTTCTGGAAGGACTTTACATGGTCTGAGGGGCTTCTGAAATGATCCAGATAGCAAGGGAAGAAAGATTCAAGACCAGGACTACGACTATTAAGTGTGCTGTTGTTTTCAATTAATTTCTAAAACCACAGGAGGTCAGATGGGGAACAACCCCCACTCCCACACCCTGGGATCCGAGCTTGCTTGGTTGTTGCCATCTTGCGGGATGATGTCATTTTGTTCTTTATTCTCTATATTCATAAAAGGGAAATCTGCTGTTCTAGGGTCACTAGCAGGTCTAGAACTCCAGAGCTCTGGCCCCCAGGTAAGCACCTGTGGGTCTCCCCGGAGACGACCCGTTACCACGTTCCTGTCTGGTTGCTGGGCATTGTTTCTGGGCCACCTGGCCTTCATCTTGGTCCTTGTCCTTCTCTCTCAAAGGTCTCTGAACATTTCCCAGGAATATTTAACTGCCCTCAGGGTCTCAAAACTGATCATGGGTGGGGCAGAAGGCATGGAAAATGAGCCTAAAAGGCTATGTAGGGGCTCTCTGTGCGATCTCCCCACTTGCAGTTTTGCTCCTCCCACACACTGACCTCACGGTGGGTGCCAGCAGTCGGTACTCAGTCACCCGCAGGGGCTGTGTTCCCTGAAGGCTGAGCTCTACACTAACTCTACAGCTGTCCATTCCCCAACTCTTCTGTCTCTGGCCCTTGGCTCCATTTCCTCTATCTCCTTCCTTCCCAGATGCTATTCTTCTCCCAGGTCCTGTCCCAGACCACCCCTCATCACAAGCTGTCTGAGACTGAATGCTGGTGGTGCTGCAGGAGGTCGGCCATGAGAAGCCCTCACGGGAAACACTGGGGCAGGTATCATCATGCACTCTTAGAGGGACCAGCGTTTGGGGCAGCAGCTGAGGGCTGCTTGGTATGCCCACTTCCCATTCAAGTGCTGGATGCTCCATTTCTGATCCAGTTTCTTGCTAATGCATCCTGGATGGCAGCAGATGATAGCTCAAATACGTGGGCCTCTGCCACCCACATGGGAAACCTAGACAGAGTTCTGGGCTCCGGCTTGGGCTTGGCCCAGCCTTGACTGCCGTGGGCATTTAAAAACTGAAACGAAACAGCAGATGGGAGACCTCTCTCTCTTGCTCCTTCATGTAGATGAAAAGAAATAAGTAAACATTTTAAAACGAATGAAGCACTCAGGAAATAAGTTAACCCTGAGTTGGCCTTGCTTTCTGAGCTTAAATGAGGCAGGGGGGTGACAAGTCACTGAAGAAAGGATGGGGAAGCTACCAAGGGCAAAAACACCAGTGGAACCAAAACATCAAAGAGGGTACTTCAAAGCTTGTGAATGTGCATTAGGAAACAACTACACATAAAGAAAAACATTTCTTGCACTAAAGCAAATTTAAAAAGAAAATAGTTTTGGGAAGGCAGAGAGAGAGAGAGAGAGACTGACTGATCTTAAATCTGCAACAGCCAGGACTATGTCAGGTCCAAGCCAGGAGCCCAGAACTCAACCCAGGTCTCCAGGTGGTTAGGCAGAGCCCAAGTACTGGAGCCATCACCTGCTGAGTCCCAGGATGCACATCAGCAGGAAACCGAAACTGAGCAGCCAGGACAAGAACCCAGGTCTTGGACATGCGCCGTAGGCATCCTAACCACTGCGCCAAACACTTGCCCCTAACCTTACATTATAATCCTATTTTTTTCCTGAGCTTTTCAAAGTGTCCTTGTACTTCTACTGCTTTTTAGCAGGTAGGCAGAAATAAAGGAAGGACTAGCATTGTGGCACAGTCGTTTGAGCCACTGCTTGTGACATACGCATCCCATATCAGACTGGCAGTCTGAGTCCCAGCTGCTCCGCTTCTTTTTTTTTTTTTTTTTTAACAGTTAGAGTGGACAGTGAGAGAGAGAGACAGAGAGAAAGGTCTTCCTTTTGCCGTTGGTTCACCCTCCAATGGCCGCCGCGGCCAGCGCGCTGCGGCCGGCGCACCGCGCTGATCCGATGGCAGGAGCCAGGAGCCAGGTGCTTTTCCTGGTCTCCCATGGGGTGCAGGGCCCAAGCACCTGGGCCATCCTCCACTGCACTCCCTGGCCACAGCAGAGAGCTGGCCTGGAAGAGGGGCAACCGGGACAGAATCCGGCGCCCCAACCGGGACTAGAACCTGGTGTGCCGGCGCCGCTAGGCGGAGGATTAGCCTAGTGAGCCGCGGCGCCAGCCCCAGCTGCTCCGCTTCTAATCCAGCTTCTTGCTAGTGTGCTTTGGAAGGCAGAGGATGGCCCCTGCCACCCATATGGGAGACCAGGATGCAGTCTGGCCTGGCTCAGGCTTGCTGTTGAGGTCATCTGGGGAGTAAACCAGAAGGAAGACCACTCACTTCTGTTTCTCCCTTTCTGAGGCTCTGCCTTTCACATTAATCAATATTTGAAAGAAGAGAAGGGGAGGGGAGGGGAGAGAATGGGAGAAAAAAGATGAGGCGAGTCGAGTCCATAGAGCTGGAGAGCCTTAAGGGATCTTAAGTCAATTATCCAAGTCACCCCATTTCTAAGCAAGACTACGAGCAAGTGACCCAAAGATACAAGAACTGATCCTCCAGGTCAGGCGGCCTCTCACTTTCTTACCAATCAGGCCATTTTAAACTGAGTGTATCTATAGTTTGGGGGAAAAAAAACCTTCTAAATTGAGCCTAACTTCTGCATTCTTATTGGAAGTGAAAGCACATATCCCCAGCATAGGCAGAGAATAAACAACTGGCTACCACCTTTGGAGGAGCAATCTTTCAACATATGGCATATCCATTATTTCTCTGTCACTTTTATCCGTGAGCTCTTTGAGCTAGGGCTAGAATTCCAAGAGATGACTTTCATAATCCTCAAGATTCCAACAGGACTGAGTGTTTTGGTTTGAAAGGACCACTGATGGGGCCAACGCTGTGGCACAGCAGGTTAAGTCACAGCCTGTGGTGCTGGTATCCCACAGGGGTGCTGGTTTGAGTCCTGGCTGCTCTACTTCCAATCTAACTCCTTGCTAATGGCCTGGGAAAGCAGCAGTGGAGGCCCAAATCCTTGGGCCCCTGCACTCACTTGGGAGACCCAGAAGAAGCTTCTGGTTCCTGGCTTTGGCCTGGCCCAGCCCCAGATGTTGCAGCAATTTGGGGAGTGAACCCCTGGATGGGAAGATCTGTCTTTCCTCCTCCCTGTAATTCTGCCTTTCAAACAAATAAAAAAATCTTAAAACAAACAAACAAAATAAAACACTGACTCTAAAAGAGAAGGTGTTCTAGCCTAGAAAGCAGGACTATTCAGATTCTACTTATGAGGACCTACTTTATGCCAGGAACTCAGAACCGAGTCCGAGTGACTTGGGGCATTGCACAGGGTCTGCGGTGGGCTTCTGGAATGAGCAGGAAGGGCTGCGTTACCTGCATGGTCTGGCCTTGAAGGTGCAGGCGATCTTTGCAGGCCACCTCATAGAAGTCGTAATACTCGAGAAAGGACTTCTCCATCACCCCTCTGGAACAAAAAGCAGAGAGGTTAAAAACCTGGAGAACGAGGTCGCCCCTTTCATCCTCTAACCTTAGCGCCAAATAAACAGTCAGAGTTCATGTTTGGTTTCCACAAAAATCTTTAACTGGAAAATGGAACAGCTGACGTCCCTCATACCTTAAGGATCTATGCGAGTGCCCACAATACTCACCATCTGAATTTTGAATCTCACCTTCAACTCCTGACTGGCTCAACCTCGGTGGTTTCCCATAAGCCATCCACAATCCTAAACATTACTTAAAATTCTCCTAGAAGTTTAACTCTGTTCATTCAGTGTGAGCACTTAAAAATAAACATTAAGAAATGAGTTTATTGTGGAGTATTCTATACCTCTTTTGGCTGTAATACAGTATATCCAAGCCTTCATCAACTTGGGGTCTCTAAAGGTGGGGCTGCCTCCCCCATCAGATCTGTGCTCTTCAGAAAGAGAGCCGCTCTTGAGCTCCTTTTTTATTTATTTACTGAAAGGCAGAGTGACAGGGAGAGAAAGACAGATCTTCCATTTGCTGTTTCACACCCAAATGCCCACAACAGATGGGGCTGGGCTAGGCAGACGCCAGGAGCCAGAAATTCCACCCTGGTCTCCCACAAGGGTGGCAGGTACCCAAGTACTTGAGCCATTATTTGCTGCTTCCCAGGTGCATTAGCAGGGAGCTGGATTACAAGAGTAGCCACGACTTAAAACAGCACTCTGATACGGGATGTGACACTGCAGCAGTAGCTTAACCCACTGTGCCACAAGGCCCTCTCTGAGCTTTTCTTACTTAGCCACATGCATTTTTAAAAATATTTATTTATTTATTATTTATTTAATTTATTTGACAGGTAGACTTATAGACAGTTATAGACAGAGAGAGACAGAGAGAAAGGCCTTCCCTCTGCTGGTTCACCCCCAAAATGGCCACCATGACCAGAGCTACGTCGATCTGAAGCCAGGAGCCAGGTGCTTCCTCCTGGTCTCCCATGCAGGTGCAGGGACCCAAGCACCTGGGCCATCCTCCACTGCCCTCCTGGTCCACAGCAGAGAGGTTGACTGGAAGAGGAGCAACCGGGACCAGAACCCGGCGCCCATATGGGATGCCGGCGCCAAAGGCGGAGGATTAACCAAGTGAGCCACAGCGCTGGCCCCCCTATTTATTTATTTGTTTATTCGAAAGTCAGAATTACAAAGAGAGATGCAGAGACAGAGAGACCAATCTTCCATCTGCTGGTTCACCACCCAGGAGGCCACAACAGCCAGGGCTGGGCCAGGCTGAAGCTAGGAGCTTCATCCCGGTCTCCCACACTGAGTGGGAAGGCCCAAACACTTGGGCCATCTGCTGCTGCTTTTTCCAGGCCACCAGCAGGAAGCTAGATCAGAAGCGGAGCAGGCAGGACATGCAGTAGCACCCATGTGGGATGCTGGTATCCCAGGCAGCAGCTTTACCTGCTACGCCACGGCAGTTCCCATACTTGCTCTTTAAAAAGCATGACTACCTCCCCCCGGCCCGTCTTCTGGTTCTCCACAGCGGATTTTGCCACAAAGGCCCTCAAAAGTATAAGCCACCTCAATTTCCAAAAAGAAGGTATACCAAGTGGGTCCTCGTGACACGTACCGTAAGGGCTCTGGGCAGGGACATTTTCCTTCCATCATGTCACAGACTGCAACTCTGATGGTCTCGTGCCGGATACATTCATTGTAGTTTTTGCTATCTCCTGGATGTCTCTCCTGTAAGGTGACAAATGCCATGGCACCAAGCACAAAGTCTAGGTCAGAAGAAAAGCTAACAGAAGACTTCAGGTTCAGTATGGAGTGTGTGACCCACGCACACCAACTAAGAGGATACCTTTCCCACTATATAGGAAAACCCTGAAGAACAACTATTCACACACACACCCCCCACTGTACACCAATCCCTAGCCTCTGCTACAGGTAGCACAATCTCTACTAAGCAATCTAAGACCCATCAAATATTCCAGAACCTGACGTGAAGGCCTATCAGGTAAGAATTCAGTGGAAAATAACCAATTTAAGAGCAATGGTGGGATCAAAAGCTGTAAACGATGTTAGCAGTCAGTGTGGAAACCTCTGGGCATTCACATGTAAAGGAAGCTTCTTGCTGAACGCCCTCACACATCTGTATGGTTCCACCACCACTGGGTCAACTGTAGAACCAAAACTTTCAAAGGAAACACTCCAACTCTGGTCTAGAAAGCTCATCTGCGCGTGTGCTGTGAACACGGGAGACGGCCTGCTCTCCTGAACGCTGCTCTTGCCTTCTCACGGTTCCTGCTGCCTCCAATTCCAGCAGCTCAGACTGGCTGCCGCTGAGCTCGTCCATTTCCAGCCCAGCACCGTGGTTTCTGAAACCCCGGGGGGCCAAGTAGGGATTTTTAAACTTCTGAGGGGAATCACCACATTCAACATGTCCAGTAACCATGTGAACTACCACTCTGAGATAGGGAGTTTGCAGTTTAAAAACTAAACTGTACCATCTTCCCACGTTATCTTTGTGAAGTCGGATTCCTAGTCACTGCTGTGAGAAAAAACAAACAGCATATGAAAACAGTGGAGAATAGCCGACAGGAGTGGCGAGGTTCAATCTGATTCCAAGATTTTCAAAGTTGTGCATTGTCCAACAGGTACAGACACATCCTTTAAGGAATTATAATTATTTACTAAAGAAGCTGATTAGATCCAGCCACTTCATAAAAGGAACAGTTTGGTATTTTTCACCTGGAGAACTGCAGAAAAATTATAAAACATCATGCATGTGTGAAGCACCAAAACCTGGGAACACTAAGAAGTAAGCACTCCTGAATTTCCAAACAAGGAAAGACCTTAAAATCAGCTCCTCGTTTAGCCAAGTCCATTACCATTACTGCCCACTCCTGAAATCAGGTACATTATTTGTTTGGAAAGGATGGTTTAGAGATTCATTTTTGTTGAAAAGAATATTTATTCAGGTCTATTACAGAAGAATGATAAATTTTAGTGCTACCTTGAGTACTTTAAGAATTATGCTGTTTTAAGCACCAAGATGGAATTTATTTTGAGAATATCACTGCAATTTTTTTCAGTTCTCAAGAACAATTCAGGAAAGCACTTTGGACTAGTGATAGAACTTGGCCTGAGGTACAAATCCAGGGTCCCGCACTGATCAGTGTGTTCTTGTGAAAGTTAATTAACCTGAGTCACTACTGCCTCACTTGAAAATGGGCATGACAACATCTCACAGTAACTTTAGCATGAAAATTAAACAAGAAATTATACATAAAAGGCCGGTGCCGCAGCTCAATAGGCTAATCCTCTATCTTGCAGTGCCGGCACACCGGGTTCTAGACCCAGTCGGGGCGCCGGATTCTTTCCTGGTTGCCCCTCTTCCAGGCCAGCTCTCTGCTGTGGCCTGGGAAGGCAGTGGAGGATGGCCCAAGTGCTTGGGCCCTGCACTCCATGGGAGACCAGGAGAAGCACCTGGCTCCTGCTTTCGGATCAGTGCGGTGCGCCGGCCGCAGCGCGCCAGCCGTGGCGGCCATTGGAGGGTGAACCAACGGCAAAAGGAAGACCTTTCTCTCTGTCTCTCTCTCTCACTATCCACTCTGCCTGTCAAAAAAAAAAAAAACAAAAAAAACAAAAAAAAAAACATAAAAACTTGACAGTGTCCAGCATATCTGCATGACATAAACTTGGAAAATGTGATTTTTTTCCGCCTTCTCTTTGACAGTGTTGACTAAAACATCCCACCCCCAGCTCAGGACTGGCAACTTTGCTCTGCAGGATAATGGCACTTGCCAATTCTGGTAGAGCCGCAGGCTGGGCAGGGTTCTTAAGGGAACACCCCAGACCACAGGTGCTGAAGAACCCACTGGCAGCAACAGCCCCAGAGCAGGCTCAGAATTCATTTCCGAAAGACTCCACTGACTTCCACACTGTAGGTTAATCCAAGCCAATACTTACTAGTGTTACTCTAAACCTTTTAAATTAAACAGGTTATCATCAAGGAGCAGGCATGTCAGCCCTATTTTTCTCCTACAGTGGCAATCAGGATATACAAGAGCTGTACCGGGTCAAAGAAAGATCTCCCAAAACAACTCGCATTCCACACCCGAGAGCTGGGCCCACCCGGCCTTACCTGTTCAAAGCCAGGCTCATTGTGGTAAGGGTTCTCAGTCATCAGGGACTGGATGGAGATGAGCACAGAAGAGATGCTCTGGGCCGGGCTCCAGGCTGGGCCAGTCCACGTACTGCAAACACAGCCGAGGGAAGGGGAAAGGGTCAGGTGGAGAAAGACCAGGGAACATGCCCTGGGCCCGAGCGCAGGCAGGGACTCACCACAAGTGAGTCCTTCCTTCACTAACACCACTCTGGAACTTCCCAGCCTGTCTCATCCTCACTCACCAGCAATCGGTCAGCTGCCTAATCCCGTCACGTGGAAAAGAAAAGGGGCCACGCAAGCAAGAAACTGTGACGGAATTTTCCTTGGGTCCGTAAAGAACAGCCAGGGAAGGTTAGAGATGACACCACCAAGGAATGAGGCAGGCAAACAGCTCCAGGGCTTTAGACGCCAACCTCTGTGGCTCTGAGAGAGCTTACTGGCTACGGGTGGCAATGCAGGTTGTGAGGGGAAAGACAAGCTGAGCACAGAGGCTCAGAGCCATCTGGGGGTGGGGGGGAGCACCCAGTTCTGCATCAAGCATTCTCTGAAGACTACACAAGTCTGCTGGGACAGACAGGCCACAGTGGGTCTGAAAATAATATATGGACAGCATCTTGACTATGAAGAGAAATACCAAAATTGCTCCTCTTTCATAAACCTGAGCCAGCCTTAGGGAGCAGCATCTTGGATAGTAATGGTTATTTTCCTTTAGCTCATGCCTTCCCTAACTGAAGAGATGGCACCAGAGCTGAGCCACGACTGGCTCTGTGTTGACTGGCCCCTGTCCTCTCCCGAGTCAGCAAGCTGTAAGTGGTGACTGCGTCGGAGGTGCATCTGAAGTGCCTCTCAAGCTCCTCTTGCCAGCGTTGCTCTCCCAGGGACCCTACACCTCCTACCCTCTGCATCAAATATTTGGGGGTTCAAGTTAACAGGGTCAATTCTCGTGCAATTTCTTCGGTCAGTCAATCTGCCCAGTACTTTGGCCTGTGTAGGGAGGAAAGGAATGAAGCTGGTACAGCTAACACAATACACTAAGAACATGTGGAAATTCTCTACTCCAAGTCTTCAGGATGCTTCATTTCTACCCAAAACAGTTCTGCCACTTTTACCTGACTACCCGACTCCTCCTGTTCCTACTGTGTGCAGTGTCTGCTTAAGATGGTCTGCACATTGGCCTCATGAGGGAGAAGCTACACCAAAACACTTTCGTGAACAAATTACATGCAGAAGCCAATGATTACAGTTCCTGGGGCCGTTGCTATGGCGTGGCGGGTAAAGCCGCCACCTGCAGTGCTGGCAGTACATATGGGCACCAGTTCGAGTCCCGGCTGCTCCACTTCCGATCCAGCTCTCTGCTGTGGCCTGGGAAAGCAGTAGAAGATGGCCCAAGTCCTTGGGCCCCTGCACCTGCGTGGGAGACCAGGAGGAAGCTCCTGGCTCCTGGCTTTGGATTGGTGCAGCTCCAGCCATTGCAGCCATTTGGAGAGTGAACCAGTGGATGGAAGACCTTTCTTTCTCTCTCTCTGCCTCTTCTCTCTCTGTGTAACTCTAACTTTCAAATAAAAATAAATCTTAAAAAAAAAAAATTTCCTTACCAACACAGTTTCATGTGGATAAACACCACTGTCCTACCAGCCCAGACAATTATGAGATGAAGGATTTATTTAAGGGCAATCTGCCACAACCAGAGCAGAACGTATTCCTGGATTTGAGAGAGTTCTAGAACAATAAATCCTATTTCAAGTTTGTTTCAGGTGCCTCCCCCTGCCACAAACCTGGAAACATGTTGGCCAGGAAGAATAGGAGCATCCATCTGGGCAACTTTCTCAACTTCAACCTGTACTTGTTCTCCACCCCAGGGGAATTCAGATCACAATCCAAAATATGCAGGAAGACATTTCCATCCTGAGTTCTGAACCCACAAAGTCTCTTAAAATGGAATGACGGGAACTCCATGGATCAAAATCTCAGCAGCACTCAATAGAAGACAAACTTAAAGACTTCTAGGGTCTGTATCTGATGACTTCCAATGGCAGACATTTTTCATTCAATTGTCAAACGCCACAACAATTATCACTACCACTACTCACTGAGACCCGGAAGTGAGACCCCCCCACAGCCTTGCTCTGTCCAGGCGAGAGTAAGGCCTAATGCCGTTAGGGAGCAGCTCTCAAACCAGACGGGCACCTGCAGCGCTAGGAGGGCTTGTGAAAAGACAGATGGGGGGCCGCCCCAAGGCTGCTGACACAGCAGGGCTGGGGTGGCACTCCCAAATCTGCAGATGCTGCCTCTCAGGAACCCCACTCTGAGAACCACTTTACAGCACCTCTTGTATGGAAGACATGAACGCTTCTCCTTTGCATCTAGAATGATACTAGTTAGCACCATCCTGGGGAGAGCTGAGAAGAGAGTCATGCGATTATTTTCTGTTCCGTGGTTCAGACGAGAAGCCCTGGCTGATGAGGCTGGCCTGGCATAATTATTTGCTAACAATCAACTTGGCCACTTAGAAGTCTCCTCTTACCCTAGAATACTCAAGCAGACCTTCCCATTGCGGTAGAAGTTGGGGTTAAACCTCACTGTGTTATTGCCCGTTGTCATCAGTTTGACCCGAGGCGGGTGGATGGGATAGTCGGGTGGACACCGAAACACGAACAGGAAGAAACCCCCTTCATAAGGAGTGTCAAATGGGCCTGTGATCAATGCATGAATCTGCAAAATAAAACCCCATCTCAAAATCGTGAGGTGATGCTCCCTCCCCACCCACCCCTCCTGACCTCCGCCTGCAACCCATGCCAGGAGCAGGCCCCGTCCGGTATCCATATTCTCACCATGCCCAATAAACATCCTGTACTCACTCACACTAACAAGTACCCTGGAATCTGAAGAAATCTCACTGCAGTGGCACGGCATCTTAGGGGTTGAGCTGAGGTGGGAACTGATATATACTCAAAACCACCCTGGGTAGCTATCCCCTGAAACTCCCTCAAAGCCTGCTTTTTGCGTGCACCTCCTTCATCAGTGCTACGTCTAACACGCGACTAGGACATCAACGCTTGCAGTACATACCTAGCAGCTCTAAGAGATCCATACGCATTTCTGCAGAGCATGCTGTTTGGATTTGCCTAGGTTAAACACGCCTATGATGCAACTACACCCGGTATTTATGCTGCACAAGGGAGAGGTAAGAGGAATGGAAAACAAAGACTGGAGGCCACAGCACTGGAGCCAGTAATGGGGAGAGCTGGGGGCTGTGATGGAGGCAGACGGTGTCTCCTCGCTTCCTCCACACAGGAGCTAACCTGCTGTGGAAGATGTGGCTCAGGTGCATCCACTGTGTCGAAGTACAAGAAAAAATGGGGAAAATCCAGGGCCCAAGCAGAGCCATCAGGTCATCCCCAGAACTTCCCCAACTTCCCTGTTGGCTAAAAGAAAAAAAAAGACAGCAGCTCTTTACCCGCCCCCCCCCCCCCCACTCCGGCAGAGTGGACAGTGAGAGAGAGAGAGAGAGACAGAGAGAAAGGTCTTCCTTTGCCGTTGGTTCACCCTCCAATGGCCGCCACGGCTGGCGTGCTGCGGCCGGCGCACCGCGCTGATCCAATGGCAGGAGCCAGGAGCCAGGTGCTTTTCCTGGTCTCCCATGGGGTGCAGGGCCCAAGGACTTGGGCCATCCTCCACTGCACTCCCTGGCCATAGCAGAGAGCTGGCCTGGAAGAGGGGCAACCGAGACAGAATCCGGCGCCCTGACCAGGACTAGAACCCGGTGTGCCGGCGCCGCTAGGTGGAGGATTAGCCTAGTGAGCCGTGGTGCCGGCCAACAGCAGCTCTTAAAACACTAAATTTTCTACCTCCACAAACCATTACTGAAGATTTCCCTTCCTAAAGGGAAGAAAACCTGAAGCGATTCAGTCTGCTTTCTTCCTCTATAAAGGTTCTAGGCACGTAAGTCTACTTAGACTCTGAGCAGCAGGAGGAAAAAGGACACCGTGATATGCCTTGGTCTCTAATCCCGACCTTGGCCCAGGGACACCCCAAAGTATATTCTAGCCCCAATCATGTGAATAACAAATTCAATTGGGGGGCCGGTGCCATGGCTCATGGTTAATCCTCTGCCTGCAGCGCCGGCATTCCATATAGGCGCCAGGTTCTAGTCTTGGTTGCTCCTCTTCCAGTCCAGCTCTCTGCTGTGGCCTGGGAAAGCAGTAGAAGATGACCCAAGTGCTTGGGTCCCTGCACGCACACGGGAGACCAGAAAGAGGCACCTGGCTCCTGGCTTCGGATTGGCGTAGTTCCAGCCGTAGTGGCCATTTGGGGGTAAACCAACAGAAGGAAGACCTTTCTCTCTCTCTCTCTCACTAACTCTATTTGTCAAATAAATAAAATTCAATTGGTTCTAATAGGGCATCACTTCTAGGACCCCAGGGGTCAGCATATGAACACTAGTCTATGACTGAGAACAAGGTGTCCCAGGAAAAACATTCTGAAGCACATTAAAAAAAAATCTAAAGGGAATCCTATTCAAAACAAAGACAGATAAAACAACAAAACAAAATCTGAACTTTTACTGTAGGCATTTTCACTTAAAGACCCGTAGATGCAGCAAAGAGGGATGTCTTCCCCAGGCCAGCTTCTGAGGGCAGAGCAACGACAGAGGAACGCGACTCACGCACTAGGGATCTCTGGGTGGGGATGACAGAGATGCTCTGAGGTGGGACAGTCAGCAGCAACCCGTCCAGGACAGGAGCCGGAACAAGGCCCTTTAATCACAAATACTCAGTCAAGCGCAACCTCTCCCTGACCTTCCCTGCGTCTGCTTAACAGTACCACGGTCAAAGTCAGGAGGGGGAGACGGGCAAAGAGCTGGGTAGTACAGTGGGCAAGGTGACCAGGTAACTTCACCCAGCCTGGCGCACTCCGACACTCAGAAAGCGTCCTAACAGCTAAGCTGAACAACGCGCATCGGCTGGGATTTTTCCAGCCACTCACTACCTATCAGCACTGTAACAGACACCTGCTGAAGGCTCTGCTCCACTTCACTGTGTGACCCTGGCTGAGCCACTCACTCCCCTAGGGTCTCCACTTCTTCACCTGCCTAATCAGAGAGGCGAGCTGAATAATCTTTTATACTCTTCCAACTTTATGGGCCAATTTCCCGAAGCCCCCTGGCTCCCCATCAAGTTACATACCTTGGTCATGTCAACAGTATCGGGTACGACGAACATTCCCGGAGGAGGCTCCTTATAAATGGACATGATATCCCTGGTAACACCAAGAGGAGGCGGGGAAAGAGTGAGGGGAGGGGAAGGGGAATCCCTTGAGCGGGACAATTGTTATCGCCTCAGTGAGGCCAGGGTTTGAGAAAGTGGCGCTTGGTACCACAAATGTTTGCACTGTCTTGTTGGCTGAGATCCTCAGCTGAGTACTTATCAGGCAGGCAGAGAGCAAATTATCATCAAAGGGACATTGTTTCATCAGGGGGAGGGCAGGGAAAGGAAAGAAAAAAAAATATCAGAGATCCCAATGTTATCAGATGTCACCCTGGAAAAGCCACATCCCATTTACTCTCACTTCCTCCCACATGGCGACTCACCCACTTCCCACCTCCGAGGTTCCCAGGTACTACGGCAGACACCACACGAGGATTTTTTAAAGAAACTCTGAAGGCACAATCAACTCCACTAAAAAACCGAATTCCATAACCCATGCAACCTCTCATGTGCAGAAGATGACATGAAACAAGTGAGCTGGCGAGGAGCAACCCCATCACGGCGGTCTTCCAGCTCAGGGGACTAACAGAGCGGCAGCTTCTCTGGGTGGGGGGAGGGGGACCCTCTGAAACCGCTCACCCTCTCCTATCTAGAGGAACATGTGATTACTGCAGATGAGAGGATGTCAGGGTCACGGCTCACCAACTGGATTGGGCTAGCTGAGAGCAGGGGGCTAAAGGACATTCCAGGTAGGGAAAAGGCCAGGGACCTGCTAGGGGAGGCAGGAGTGTAAAAAGTACAAACGGTGGCAGAGCAAGGAAGGAAGTCTTAGGCCGAACTCAACAGTATGTCAGGATCAGAAGACTGACAGGAGCAAGGGAGTATACAAGAGTTGAGGTTCAAGTTTAAGTTGGGGGCAGCAAAGCCCAGAGAGTTGGTATCCTGTGTCAGGCACTGTGCCAGGTGCTTTACGCACACTGTCCTGCTGAACTTCTATCACAACCTTGAAAAGCAAGTAGAGAGACAGATGAAGGAACTCGGAACCTGGGGCTGCACCTGGAGGAGGAGGAGGAAGAGGAGGAGGAGGAGGAAGAGGAGGAGGAGGAGGATCGTGACGGGAGTGTGGGCAGCAGTCTGGTCATCTGGAAACAGATTTCAGGATTCACGGCAGCTACACAGTACTACTCTCTTCCTTATGTGATGGGTACCAGGCTATGCACTTCTGCGAAACATTTTATCTATGAAGTGATATTATCTCAAATCAGTCACCCAAGAAATAAGCACAGAAAGGACTTAGGCCTTTGTTCCTGTAATTAAGCTGAATATATTTGCTTGAGAAAAGTAAATCAAACAATCCAGGTGTGTGGGTGAGGAAAACCCGTAAGAAAGAAGGTCCTGAGTGGGATCTTACAATCCAGAGAGACCCGGGGGTGGGCGGGGGAGGCGTGCCTGAGTGTCCTGAGCAGGTGTGAGACTGGAAAAGGGGTTCGAGGGAAGATCTGGGTGAGCCAGGGAACCCACCTAGACCTGGGAAAGTACTAACTAGGAGGCGGCTGGAGATGCAGAGATAAAGGGAAGGAATGGCTGGAATCTAAGGCACGGTAAAGCCAGCTAGGTTATGTGTTAGAAACTGGGCTCCCGAGCGCACAAGAGGGACCCAGGGGTGGGGCCTGTGGGCAGCATCTAGTCGGGCCGGGGTGGGGAAGCGGGAGGGGGTGTCACTGAAGCGCCAAAGGGTCGGGTTTCGGGCGGGAGGCAGGGGGTGGGGTGGGGGTGGGGGAGGGTGTCCGGCTCCGAGATGCGGGGCTCGGGGGAGGCTGCCGAGGGGCGGGGTCCGACCTGGGCACACGAGGAGGGGATAGGTGCTTGGGGGGCCGGAGGAGAAGAGACTTGGACCCCGACGCTCCCTGCGGGCAAGACTTGGGCTTTGGAGCCTGGCCGCCTCGAGGCAAGCGCAGCGGGCTGGGGGTGAGTTGTAGTGGGAAGGGGTGGGGGGCGGGGAAGGTCGCGCCCCGGAGCTCGGGGCTGGAGGAGGAAACACCCCAGCTCACCGCTTGATCCGGAGTAGACACTGCGGCGCGGTTCGCTCGCCGTCCCAGTCAGAGCTGAGCGTGGGGTCCCAGTGGCTAAGCAGCGCGGCCCCGTGGGCAGCGGCCGAGGGCGGGAGCCCCGGCAGCGGAGCCAGGCCGCTCCCCGGCCCCCCGGCCCCGCCCGCCGCCGCCGCCGCCGCCCACACATCCGGCAGGAAAGGCGGCCCGAACCCGCCGCCGCCGCCGCTAACGCCAACAACGCCAGCGACGCCGCTCGCCCCGGGGCCCGCCGCCCCGGCGCCTGCCGTCGCCGTCGCCGCCTCTTCAGTCGGACTCTCCGCCATCGCTGCTTCGCTTCCGGGACTGCTCGGCAGCACGTCCGCCGACCAGAGCGGCCGCTGCTCCCGCCCGCTCTCGCACCACCGAGAGCCGGGCCAGAGTGTCCCCACCCTCCGCTTCCACAGCCCGGGCGGCGCTGGCTCCGCCCACCCCCGCCCCGACCAGCGAGAGGCGCTCTGCAAGAGCGTCCACCCACGGTCCTCCAGGGCCGGGCGGGGGCGGGTTGGGGGGGGCACTAGCGGGCCGAGCCGAGGGTTCTGGGCCCGCGGTGGCCGTTCTCCGTGCGGGAGCGACGGAGAGCCCGACTGCGTGGAAAATGTTATTTTCAGATGCTGAAACGGGGAAAGAAAGTTTAAAGAAGCGGCGGAGTGGGCTTAAACTCCTTGTTTACCGAGAGGGTGGCGGAGACGTGCGTCTGGGACGGGACTGGACGTAGGGCTCGCCGCGGAAGAGGTGACCGCCTGCGGGCCCTTCGCGGGCGCGAGGCTCCGTGGCCGAGCCTGGCGCCCGGCACCGTCATGCGCCCAGAAAGAGGAAGGAGTCGGGACTGCACGCGAGAAGCGGCCTCTCTTGTTTGAGCGTTGGTCTGAAGGCCCCGCCGAGGGCCAGGCGCTGCCCTGGGGATCGAGCAAGAACTCGAAGGAAGAAAGAGCAGGCCTCCCGACTTTTCCTGCCCGCAAATCCTTAAACATACAAGAACCCAGGGAATGCGTATAAATCCTAAGAGGATTCCTTAGGACTTTTCTGAGATCTTTCAAGTGAAAAGTAATCCTAAGGACTAAGAAAAACAGAGGCCTTCCAAGAAAAACTTTGCTTCTCCCTAGCAAAAATTACAGGCTGATGACCATCACCCAGAAAGCAGTAGGGCCAGACGCGTTTCCGATTGGAGAGCCAGGGCACGGGTAGCCGCCAGCAACCAAACATAGTGATGTTTCTTCAGAAAAGTGTATGAATAGCCCTACTAATTTGGGCACGTTACGAACATTGATGCCAAGGAGGGGAGCGTCACTTTGGATTATACTTGCTGCCAGAGGTGTGTTTTAAAACAGGCGTTTGGGTTCCAGAGGTCTGGATTTCCAGTAGTGGACCGTGGCCCTGAATGAGGATGAAACAGCTAAAAAGTTACTTCCCTGACGTTTCTTGAGTGCTTCTATATCCTGGTACTTTATTATTATTATTTTTTAAAGATTTGCTTATTTGTGTGTGAGAGAAAGAGGTGTTCCATTCGTTCGTTCACTCGCCAAATGGCCGCAATGGCTGGAATTGAGCCCATCAGGAGCCAGGAGCTTCTTCCGGGTCTCCCACCCGGGGAACAGGGGCCCAAGGACTTGGGCCATCTTCTACTGCTTTCCCAGGCCACAGCAGAGAGCTGGATCAGAAGTGGAGCAGCCTGGACAGGAATCAGCGTCCCTATGGGATGCTGGTGCCGCAGGTGGAGGCCTGATCCACCAGGCCACAGTGCCAGCCTGTACTTTATATCCTTTCAACAACCCATGAAGTAAGAACCATTATCAGAAATTGTTCTGACACCCACACAGGGTCATGGTGGGCGGAGCTGAGGCTGTAAAGCAGCCAACCGCTGTGTGACACTGACACCACTGGAACCACACTTCCTTTGTTTTACCTCATGCTAAGGAAGTTCCTGTCGTACCTGTGCCCCACCCTGCCCCCTGTAACACACACACACACACCCACACACCCTTGGGGCTATAGACCATGTGTTAGCATTAAATCCTGCACAGGACTTGGCACAACTTAGGTACCTGACGCAAAGGGAAATTATTCAATGTAATATTGTGTATGCATTTCGTATTTTGTTGGTATAGTGTTCATTACTATAATAAAGATGTTAGACCATGTATCAAAGGGCATAAAAGAAACTGGTCACAAGGGTTGCCTCCAGATTGATTGCTGACAGGTGGACCAAAGGGTTTTCTACTTTTTGAAGGATTTTTTTTAAAGATTTCTTTGTTTGAAAGGGAGTTGCAGAGACAGAGGGAAAGAGAGATTTTTAAAAAGATTTATTTATTTATTTGAAAGAGTTATCTTCCTGGGTACCTCACAGAGAGAGAGAGAGAGAGAGAGAGAGGTTTGTCTTCCATCCATTGGCCCACTTCCGAATTGGCCACAATGGCCGGAGCTGCACTGATCTGAAGTCAGGAGCCAGGAGTTTCTTCTGGGTCTCTCACGTAGGTACAGGGGCCCAAGGCCTTGGGCCATTTTCAACTGCTTTCCCAGGCCATAGCAGAGAGCTGGATCAGAAGTGGAGCAGCCAGGTCTTGAAGCGGCTCCCACGTGGGATGCCAGCACTGCAGGCGGTGACCTTACCCGCTACGCCACAGTGCTGGCCCCAGAGAGATCTTCCATTCTCTGATTCACTTCCCAAATGACTGCAACAGCCAGGCTTAAGCTAGGAGCCTGGAACTCCATCCGGCTCTCCCCCATTGGGCAGTAGCAGGGGCCCAAGCACTCAGATCATCTTCCACTGCTTTCCCGGGCACATCAGCAGGGAGCCAGATCAGAAGTGGAGCAGCCGGGACTTGAACTGGTGCTCATAAGGGATACCAGCATCATAGGCAGCAGCTTAACCTGCTGTGCCACAACGCTGGCCCTGACCTTCTCTTACTTCTTGAATGTTAATGTTGTGCATCCATTGTCTATCCAGACTATGTTTTACTTACTTTTAAAAGATTGGAGAATTTTACTGGGGTATTTTTCTTTTTTAGTGAGGTGGTCAATGGTCCACTTCCTGGGTACCTCACACAGAACCCCCACAGCCAGAGACTTCGGAGGCCCAAAGATGGCCCGTGGTGAGAGAGGATTCCTCAGCGCTTCTCTTGTTCAGGACTGGGCTGTAACCAGTGCAGTCTGGTAGTGCTGGGCCAGGATCCGAAAACTTACCTTAGAGTCTGGGCAGGGAGCTCCAGTTTCTGGTCTGTGCCACATCCTTAGCTTCTTTGAAGCCCAGTTCTGCACCCAGAGGCTGGTGGGAGTCCCTGCCCCTCCAGGTGTTCCTGGCGTTGCTTCTGAAGCGGCAGGCGGGGAGCAACGCGGGCACCACACTGGCCCAGCTGCCCTCTCTCCAGGCCTTTGCTGCTGTGGTCTCTCTACCCACAGTGCTCCTTGGCTGTGCCAGGGGAAATCCTGGTTTTTTAACCTCTCTGAACCTCTGTTCCTCACCAGTCAAACTGGGAAATGATAGTAGCTACTAAGAAGAGGTAATGTGATAATGAGTGTACACAATGGCTACAGTAAATGTTTGCTTGTTATTATTCTTATTATTCTTACTCATCCCACAAAGCTGGCTGGGCTATTACTTTCTCTGCTAAGCCCTAACACTTCCAGGTATATTATTAGTATTATTATTGTTAATTAGTCATTTTTAATTACTCCCTCTGGTTTTCATGGCTGATTATTCATACCTCTATTAAAGCAGTACTACCTTTTAGTGGCTTGGTTACTCAACTGTCAACCGCTAGATATGACTTCCCCTAGGGCAAGAAGTGTGGGGCATCTGTCTTCGTGTCTCTGGGCTCTGACCTTCAGCGGATGCTGCAGGAATGGTGACGAGTGGAAATGAGGACACGGTAGCCAATTGCCCTCCCCTGGACAAAGACCTTGAAGCTTTTACCGCCTCCCCAGATATGCCTCGTTTCTTTCGAAAGAGCTGAGCCAAGCTTTCATAAAGTATCTGCAAGTCGGCGGGGCCAGCACTGTGGCACAGCAGGTTAACACCTTGGCCTGAAGTGCTGGCATCCCATATGGGCACTGGTTCGAGTCCTGGCTGTTCCACTTCTGATTCAGCTCTCTGCTATGGCCTGGGAAAGCAGTGGAGGATGACCCAAGGCCTTGGGCCCTTGCACCCGCATGGGAGACCCAGGGGAAGCTCCTGGTTCCTGGCTTTGGATCGGCACAGCTCCGGCCGTTGCAGCCATTTGGGGAGTGAACCATTGGATGTAGGACCCCTCCCCTCCCTTTCTGCCTCTCTTCTCTCTGTGTAACTCTTTCAAATTAAGAAATAAATTTTTTTTTGGCTGGTGCCGTGGCTCACTAGGCTAATCCTCCGCCTGCAGTGCTGACACCCCAGATTCTGTCCCGGTAGCGCCTCTTCTAGTCCAGCTCTCTGCTGTGGCCTGGGAGTGCAGTGGAGGATGGCTCAAGTGCTTGGGCCCTGCACCCGCATGGGAGACCAGGAGGAAGCACCTGGCTCCTGGCTTCGGATCAGCGCAGCGTGCCAGCCGTGGCGGCCATTTGGAGGGTGAACCAATGGAAGGAAGACCTCTCTCTCTGTCTCTCTCTCTCACTGTCTAACTCTGCCAGTCAAAAAATAATAGAATAAATAAATAAATATTTTTAAAAACAACTCTTTTTAAAAAAATCTGCAAGTCAGAGCATAAGCTGTCTGCGATGCTGGCATTCCATTATAGGTGGCTGTTTGAGAGAAACGGAGAAAAAAGGTCTTCCTTCCCGGCACCCATACTGGATGCTGGCGCCGCAGGCAGAGGATTAACCAAGTGAGCCACAGTGCCAGCCCCACCATTCCACCTCTGATCCAACTCCCTGCTAGTGTGCCTGGGAAAGCAGTGGAAAGGGGCCCAAGGAGATAGAGTTCCTGGCTCCTGGTCTCGGGCTCCTGGTTTCGGCCTGGCCTAGCCCTGCCTGTTGTGGCCATTCTTTCTTTTTTTTTTTTCTTTTCTTTTTTTTTTTTTTTAATGATTTAACTTATTTATTTGTGAGGTAGAGTTACAGACAGTAAGAGAGACAGAGAGAAAGGTCTTCCATCCACTGGTTCACTCCCCAGATGGATGCAATGGCCGGAGCTGGGCTAATCCGGAGCCAGGAACCAGGAGCCAGGAGCTTCTTCCTGGTCTCCCACGTGGATGCAGAGGCCTAAGGACTTGGGCCATCTTCTACTGCTTTCCCAGGCCATCGCAGAGAGCTGGATCAGAAGAGGAGCAGCCGAGACTAGAACCGGTGCCCATATGGGATGTCTGCAGTGCAGGCTGAGACTTTAACCCACTGCACCACAGCGCCGGCCCCCTGTAGTGGCCATTTGGAGGGTGAAGCCGCAGATGGAAGAGCTCTCTCCTCTCCCTTTCTCTCTGTAACTCTTTCGTATA